CTTTCCCTGACTGACTTATTTCACATAGGATAATACCCTCTAGGTCCATCCATGATGTTGCAAATGGTAGGATCCCATTCTTTGTAAAGGCCAAGTAATATTCCATTGTGTATGAGGCCTGTCTGGAAAAGGTCTAACCATTGTTAATATAATGCAAATGGTTTGTGAGACATCAATGTAATCTGGTAGCCAAGGAGAGTGGACTGGAATGCACATGGGTGAGCAATAACAAGTTGACTGTACTAGTCAGTGGGGGCGGTAGATGCCACAGAGTACACATGCTCACTCAGTGGCATCTGAGTGAGCATGTGTACTCTGTGGCCATCACATTCAAAATGACTGAGCGATTAGAGCAATAAATATGCATCAAATTTTGTGTTATGCTTGAACATTCTTCCATGGAATCTATTTGGATGGTTCAGAAGGCCACAGCTGGGAAACTGGTGATTGGTAGCTTCATCATGACAATGTACCTGCTCATGCATAAGGTCTCATGCAGTTTTTTGATGAAACATCCAATCACCCAAGTGACTCAGCCCCTTACAGCTCAGGTTTGGTGCCCTAAAACTTCTTGCTTTTCCCAAAACTAAAATCAGCTTTGTTTTTCTGTCTTGTTTTATTGTTTTTTAAGTATAGTTGTCTCCATTTTCCCCCCAACACTCTTCCCTGAGCAATCCACCCCCACCTCCCACCCTCAATCCTACCCCCCCTTTGGATTTGTCCATGGGTCCTTTGTACATGTTCCTTGATGACCCTTTCCCTTCTTTTCCCCATATACCCTCCCTCCTCTTCTCTGATTACTATCAGTTTGTTTTTTATTTCCATGCCTCGGTTATATTTTGTTTGATTATTTGTTTTGTTGATTAGATTCCACTTACAGGTGAGATCATATGGTATTTTTCTTTCACTGCCTGGCTTATTTCACTTAGCATAATGCTCTCCAGTTCCATCCATGCTGTCACAAAGAGTAGGAGCTCCTTCTTTCTTTCTGCTGGGTAGTATTCCATTGTGTAAATGTACCATAGATTTTTGATCCACTCATTTACTGATGGGCACTTAGGTTGCTTCCAGCACTTGGCTATTGTAAATTGTGCTGCTATGAACATTGGGGTGATAGGTATTTTTGAACTGGTGATTCAGTATTCTTAGGGTATAATCCTAACAGTGGAAATGCTGGATCAAAAGGCAGTTCCATTTGTAGCTTTTTGAGGAAATTCCATACTGTTTTCCACAGTGGCTACACCAGTCTGTGTTCCCACCAACAGTGTACTAGGGTTGCCTTTTCTCCACAATCTCACCAGCACTTTATGATGGCCATTTTGACTGGTGTAAAGTGGTATCTCATCGTGGTTTTAATTTACATCTCTCTGATGGCTTGTGATGCTGAGCATCCTATATATGTCTCTGGGTCCTCTGTATGTTCTCCTTGAAGTGTCTGTTCAGGTCCTTTGCCCATTTTATAATTGGATTATTTGTTTTGCTAGAGTGGAGTGAAATCCAGTAGAGTGGATTTCTTTATATATTTTGGAGATCAAACCCTTACCTGATGTGTCATTGGCAAATATATTTTCCATATAGTTGGTTCCCTTTTAATTTTGCTGATGTTTTCTTTAGCCATGCAGAAGCTTTTTATTTTGATGAGGTCTCATTTGTTCATTCTTTCTTTATGTCCCTTGCTCTAAGGCATGTGTCAGTGAAAATATTGCTGCTTGAAATATCTGAGCTTTTCCTGCCTATGTTCTCCTCTAGGACTTTTATGGTGTTGTGACTTATGTTTAAGTTTATTATCACTTTGAGTTTATTTTTGTGTATGGCATAAGTTGGTGGTCGAATTTCATTTTTTTTGCATGTAGCTGTCCAGATCTCCCAACATCATTCATTGAAGAGGCTATTGTTACTTCATTTTATGCATCTGCCCTCTTTGTCATATATTAATTGACTATAGAGGCATGGGTTTATTTCTGAGCTCTCTATATTGTTTCATTGATTTATGTGTTCTTATGCCAGTACCATATTCTTTTGATTACAGTGGCCTCATAATACAGTTTGGAAACAGGTATTGTGATCCCTCCTACTCTGTTCTTCTTTCTCAAAATTCTTGTGGCTATTTGAGGTCATTTATGGTTCCATATAAATTTTTGAAATGTTGGTTCTATATCTGTGGAATATTTCATTGATATTTTGATACAGATTGCATTGAATTTATAAATTGCTTTGGGTAGAATGGACATTTTGATGATGTTAATTCTTCCAATCCATGAGCATGGTACCTATTCCAATTGTTTATAGCTTCCTTATTTTTTTTTCTTTAGTGTTGTACAGTTTTCTGAGTACAGGTCTTTTACATCCTTGGTTAGGTTTATTCCTAGGTCATTTATTTTTCCTGTTGCTATAGCAAATGGGATTTTTTCCTGATTTCTGCTTCTGATATTTCGTTGTTAGTGTACAAACTCACTTTCAATTTCTGAATATTGAGTTTGTATCCTGCTGTTTTGACAAATTCATTTATTCAGCCAACTAGTTTTTTTGGTGGAATCTATAGAGCTTTCTATGCACACTGTTATGTCATAATCACCTTTGAAAGGAAAGAGATTTCAGACTGTCGCTGAGATTCAGGAAAATATGACAGGCAGCTCATGGTGATTGGGAGAGCTGTTTTAGGTCCCATGGGGCCTACTTTGAAGACAGCTGAGGCACCACTGTCCTTTGTGCAATATTTCTTGTATCTTGTATCTTCTTCAACAAATGTCTCTATTTTTTTTGTAGTGCATGGCTGGTTATTTACTGGACAGACCTTGTTTATGTACAACAGCTTATTCACCCACTTGTCTATTGATGGACAGTGGGCCTGTTTCCATAGCTTAACTACTATAAATAACACTGCCATGAACATTGGACTGGGTATACATGAGAAGGAGCAAACTGTGCACTGAGGCCAACTTCCACCAGCAGCAAGCCTGGGGTCAGGTCTTCAAAAGGCCCAGGGCACCCCAGGATCTACCTCCACTAGTCTCCACCTGATGGCTGCCTCTTAGACTTAGTCAGTGAATGAGCCTCTGGTGGCGCTTGAGTTGCAAGAGTGCGATATTCACCAGATTGACACAGGTTCAAATTCACTATGAGTGCTGGGTCTGAAGCCACTCAGCTAAAGTCCCGTGATATACCAAGACTAGCTGCTACCAGATGGGTGTTCAAAGATCTTTGTGGTGAGACAGCATCTCAGGGTATCATCAGGGTGAGGCCAGCAGAGTTTATTAGGTTCAAACAGACCAAGATTCGGCTCTGCGAAAAAAAGGCCCTGTGCCAGTTTGGTGTGCAAGAAAAATATGGCCCCCCATCTTAGAGCCACACAACTCAGTCATTTACACTCTGTTTCTGCCCAGACCTCTATACCCAGGGACAAGGCAGCTGACTCATCTGCAGTGTCTGAACTCTGCAGGGCAGAGTGCCAGGGAGTCTGGAAGGTGGGGTTATTCCATTTTCCCAGTCTGATGCAATATGGAGGGAAGTGCTCCACCCATAAAAGTTGGTGTTTTCTATATGGGTGAGAAACTAAGTACAGGGACCCTGGTAGCTGTCTCTTCAGCTCTCTCCCTAGAACTGCAAACCCCAGTGTCTACTTACCCAGTGTCTATTCTGCCCTGCTCAGCCCTCCCTACCCTGGAGCTCAAGGTCAGTGACTACAAAGGAGATTTTGTGCACTATTGCTTTAAAAGTGTGCCTGGATATCTAGCAGACTCCTGTCTCCTTTGTGGACAGAAACCCCACTGATTTTCATAGTCAGATGTTATGTGTGGGCCTCTTCTTGGCTCTGGTGTTCTGGGCAGGGGAGCTTATTCCTCAGGGGGAACTCCCATCAGCTAGGATATTTTTTAGGATTCTCAGCTCTGCCCATGGGAGCAAGGCCAGTCCATTTTTTTTTGTCTCCACCCTTTCTACCAGGCTTGTTGTGGCTTCTTCGGTCAATCCTTGGTTATAAGACTTCTGTTCAGCTACTCTTCAGTTGGTTATTCAAGTTGATTGTTCTATGTTTTAGTTGTAAATCCAGTTTTGTCTCAGGAGTAAGTGCATGTAACTTCCATTTACTCCACTGCCATCTTGGATCTCTTTAAATGCTGCTCTTGAAAGACTATTTTTAGCATTTACTAAACAATCTTTTTATCAATAAAATAAACTTAAACATTCTGAAAAGGCATATAGTAGACCAAATCTTTCATTCTTCTACTTTAAAAATACTAAGTATTTACAATAAAAAACAAGATATTACACTTTGTATTCTTACCTTGAATTTCTCGATAACATATCATGACTGTCATTCTTTGCCTAAGGTGTGTATTCACCATGGTTAGCTTTTGTCAATGTAATCAATTAATAAAATTTGGAGGGGATGTAGAAAGGCATCAGGGCAGGGATTTTGAGTCTTCTGTTTCATATTCAGCACCCTGATGGACTAAGTATGAGTCTCTTGGGAGGGCTTTTAAAGCCTCAAATCCCATTCATGTCACCTGTAGAATAGGGGGATTTTACTAAGTACATGATACTGATTTTACTAACTTATCTCCACTCTCCTTATTGTAAAAATGCCTTAGTTTGCTTAAGGTCTTCTACAGTTCCACCAGGATTAGACTCTATGATGCTTTGATTACATTTATGGACTGAGGGAGTAGAACTGAGAAAGTCAGTGCACCCTTTGTGATCCATGTGACCCAACAGAAATGAGATTCCACCTCTCCCAGTGCTCAGCTGACTCTTGGCTATGGTTAGCCTGCTTATACTTTTACTATCCCTTTGTTTATGATGTCATTGCTAGTGCCCACACCCAGTGATAATGAATAATTGTAATTATATTGAGGAGATATGCACAGTCTCTAAACAGAGAGAACTTGAAGGAGACCAAATGATTGTTTGAAGACTATATAAGGTGATGGAATAATATGACTTGGCCATAGGCTGTAAGTACTACAACACAGCACATGGGAAAACAAAAATGCCTATTTTACCTTTTTTGCAAAAGGGCCCTTCATATGGTGAACTGGTGCAATCGCAGAAGTATCCACTGCGCTTCTCCACACACTTGCCTCCGTTGTGGCAGATGCTGCCGTAACTGCTGCAATGGCCTGGGCATCCTGGCCGGACTCCAGATGTGACCTTGGCCCTCTCCTCCAAGTCCAGTTTCTGTCCATTCAAGTGTAAGGAGCGTATGCATCCTAGAAAGCCTTTCTGTTTTGATGATGTTCCCCCTAAGTGGCAAAAAACACAAGCAAAAACATATAAGGTATCAAAGTGTTCCAATTTTTTAAAAGTTTGGAACTGGCATTCATAACAGTTAACAATTGTTCTATTGTGATACTGTGGTTACTTTTCCACTAAAGTTTCCATGGAGAATTGGAAATTTAAAGAGCCTTGACAGAATGCATGCCTTTCCAGGCTGGGAAAAACACCCACCTCCCAATGTACACTCAAAACAGTTTTTTAAGAGATTATACTTCATATGGAATTCTGTACTCTACACATTTGAGAGAGAAACTTTAAGATAAAAAGTTGTCATATTCTTTGCAAATGAAATAAAAAGTCTTTTTAGCATATAGCAGAAATCTGAAGTTGAATGCATAGAGTGAAATTGTGCCTCTAGAAAAGTTAGAAGCAAGTTGCTAGGCTCATGAAATTAGAAAACCACAAGGAGCTCTGTAATGCTTATTTGATTAGTGCAATGTGATGAACTAGAAGGAGGGTGGATTTTAGAACCAGACAAACATGGAGTCAAACTCCATGTTACTAGATGATTAGCTACACTGACCACTGACTCACCAGAGCTTCAGCTACTTGATCTGTACAATAACAATAACTCTATTTCATGTGTTTACAGTAAGGCTTAGTTAAGATATAGTACATCCTCAATCACTGCTCTTTTGTATCCCTTCTTGTAAAACCTTATAATGGTATATCTATATCTATAACTATATGTGTATCTATCTACCCATCCAAGATATTACCCTCAACTTATTATTTGAAAGATAAATTTCTTCTAGAATGCAGAAAAGAATTGCTACCCCACTTTCTGCTGAGGTTACCTATTGACAGTTTCAGAGACATATGCAATACTTGTTGCAAATTTTTTAAGAACAGAATAGATTCAAAGATTCAGGGCATTTGTTACTGTTAGAAATCCAAGATTCTACTAACCTAAATGTCTAATATCCGAAAAATGTGTATTGAGAAACAATAAGCCAGATATTAAGTTACAACCCATCAAAGGATATTTATTTTGTGTTGAGAATTTTGGAAGATCCCAGAGAAGACACATGTTTGGCAATAAGGAACCCAAGTTCTATTCCAAATGCAATGCTTTGGGCTCAAATCCATGCACATAGATTGTGGAGGACAATTGGGTCTTCTGGCTCTACATGGAATTCTAATGGAAAGGAGGAGAAGGTGTGTTGGGAAACAACACAGACTAGCAACCACTTTTATTTTCTTTTTAAGTCACCTCTGCTTTCCAAGCCTCATTCATCTCTAGTCCTTCCTGTTGCAACTTTATTGAATTTTGGTCTAGCAAATTACCAAATAAAAATACCGGTATGTTCCCACCAAGGTGGATACAGATATGAGTTCCTAATGTGCTATCTCAGAATGGGGATATAGATTTAAATAATAAACAGAGCTGTAAGTTAAAGAAATGAATATGTAAGGTGATTTTTGCTGGCATCAGTCAGCATGGCAGGGTTGACAAGTAAATATTGAAAATGAGGATGGTGGCAACATAGGGTAGAAGTATGGAGAATTCTGCCTTCTCTGAATCACATCATATCATCAGACCTATAAATACATGTATGGCAGTCACTGTCTGCATCTAAAGACAGAATGTTCCTAAAGGATTAATCTAGTCTCTTACCCTGAATTAATGATAAAATACCATTGTATTTTCAGTTCTGGTAAGTGATACCCAAGCCAGCCAGGGGGTCAAACCCAAACTGCATTCTTCTGCCTATCTCAATTTTAGTGAGTGTGTCTCCTTTTAGCCACAAGAAAAAACAATTAAAAATACAAACAGATTATAGAGCAAGGTTCATTGTTTCTTTCCTAGAGATTGTGTAGAATAAAGAGGAGAGGATTTATGTAGTCAAATATTTTATTTTATTTTTCCTTCATTTTGTTGTTATTCCTTGTGGTGGATTTAAATAACTCTTCATATATCTTCTTAGTGGCACTTTTATTCTAGCAGAGTGGAGAATGAAGGATCTATTGCAGATTATTTTTGCATGTGACTCAGTAAAAATTTCTAAATGGGAAGAGTGACTAGGGTGGTTCCTCTGACAGAAAAGCACCCCCTGATGTTTGAGACATAGTATAGTGAAAATGACCCAAACAAAGGGGAATCAGTGCTATCCCAGGTGCTGACAAAACACAATGACACAATGGTCTAAGAACTCACTGGCCAATTAACTAAGTATCAGGTTTTACCTGACTGCTTTTTATTTTTTACAAGGGAAAAGAAAAACAAACAAAAATTAGAGTTTAGGCTCTATTTTTTATGGAGAAACAATAGAAGTAATGCAAGTGCAGGCAAAAGCAAGTTTACAGTTGTTTGTATGGAAAGTAATACACTAATTAATTAACAATATAAGAATAAACTCTGTGTTTTGTGTACTCACAACTGTAAACTTACTTTTGTTCACCCCTGTATGTAGACTCAGTATAGAATAATTCTAAAATGATGTTCCCCACTCACACACTCATACCCTGTCAGGTTGTCAGTGCCCTCCATTTCTGACATTATCTACTCTGTGTACAATATGTGTTAGAGGTGTGAATCTCCGCTAAACTTGAATACTGGGCAGAAATGCAGCCACAGTTTTCCATACTCCTCTTCTCTCACAGCCCTTCCCCCACAACCAGTCCTGTGGATCTCCTCTTCCAGATATCTTGGACCCATCTGCTTCCTTCCACACCTAGAGCCACACACCACTTGAATCCAGCAAAAAAAACAATTGATGTCTTTACTCTCAGCTCTGACTCTTTGCATCCACTCACCACCTTGCAATCAGAGAGATCAACCATATGTAAAAATTTAATTCTGCCAGACCTGTTTTATACCCTTTGAAGAATAGTCATATGTGGAAAAATAAGCTCCAATCCTTAGCACAGCTGATATACAATGAAAGGTCTTGTCTCTACTTATCTCTTCATCTTCCTGCTCTGACTTCAGGGTATCAGACACCTGAATTGTTAATGGCTTCCCCATGCCCATGGTGTGTCTTGACTTTAGACCTTAGCATGTACCTTGTGTTTATGTCATATGGCACCTTCCTCCATGCACTTCACAGCACTCCTCCTTCATCCCTACCATCACAAACACACACACCTACACTCATATGCACATATTCCTCAGTTTACATATTTCTTGCCCACCCAGTATTTATTTTAACTCTTTGCCTATTTTTAAAACAGAAGCCATTTTTAAAAATTCTAGTAAATATTCCACTAAAGAATCAGAAGATCTGTTAACAATGAACTTGCTTCCTGAATGACAAAACTCAGCTGCACTAAAAAATGACCTGCATGCACTCTCCAATGGCCACATTCTTACCAGGATCACATCAAACATTCACATTGCCTTCCTGGCCCTTGTGGATTTGTCTGCAGCTTGTCTAGAGTTTACACAAGGTTGAAGGAACAACAACAGGAATGTAGCATTACCCTTAAAGCTGCTAAAAATCATTTAACGGAGTCTCATACTTAAGCCACAAGTAGTCTGAGAATGAGAAAAATGTCTCTAATTCTAACAAAAACAAACATTTTTACTATATGCTAGAAACTTTATAATTAACTCATTGAATGACTGCATGATGAAAAAATGAATTATCCATATTATTCACATTAGATAGTTGAAAAAACTTAGTGTCACAGACACTGCTTTGGCCAGAGTCAAGGATCAAACATATTTTTAAAAATTATATTAATTTATTTTTAGAGAGAGGAGAAGGGAAGGGGAAAAAAGGGGAGAGAAACATCAAAGTGAAAAAGAAACATCACTATTTGCCTCACTCATGCCCCTAACTGGGGACCTGGCCTGCAACCCAAGCATGTGCCCTGACTGGGAATTGAACCAGCAACTGTTCAGTTTGTGGGACAGTGCCCAACAGACTGAGTCACACCTGAATTTATATAACAGAACCAGGAATCATACTGAGATCTCTTAACCTTCAAAGCCTGTATATCTTCACAGCCCTAAAATCCTAAAATGAGCTATTTGATTAGACAGTTTGGACCAGTACTACAAATGAGTGATTATTCAACTTCCTTCTCCTGGTGTTTTACATAGTTTCTTCTCCTAAGTGACATATATACATGTATTTATCCTCTTGACTTTCATATCACTCTTGCTGACACCTTACACCATTAGTTAGCTGTCCTCACTAGAAGCTCTGTTAGATGAAACTCTTCAGCTGGCTCTTGGTATTAAGTATGCTCATTGTAATGTTATTTCTTTAGACTGAACATGAATCAATTCTTAAAAATGTGGCCATCATCATTTTCAGTCTGTCTTAGAAAACCTCCATGCATCCTCTGGACAAATGCTCAGTGATTCCAGAGACACAGCTCAATTTCTTGTGCCCTCCTTGAGCACAAGTATAAGGGCCTCTGTTCTCTTTTGTGCCCTCACCACAGTTGACATGATTTACCTGAATATAGGGATATTTCCTATATTCCCAATTTCCTGCCAGTGTGGAAGCAAGAGAAACACTTTGGATCTCTGCAACTTTATTATTTACCAAGACAGTGTAGGATTTTCCCCAAGGAGTTATAAGTTGGTAGTAACTATAGTTTATTTTGACATAGACAAAGAAATCAAGCTGAAAAGGTGGGAAACTAAGTTCCATGAAAGACAAGTAAGATGGAAATAATGCCACACAAAAATGAGACTCACAGGCCAACATCTCTACAAATGCCCACTCTATAATTGCAGCACATCTAGAAAAATTTGATATTGTCATACTTGGAGAAAATGAGACTTTTCCTTGCTGCTACACATACATAGGCATGAGGCTAAAGATGTCATTCTTTTTTTTTTAAGATTGTATTTATTTATTTTCAGAGAGGGAAGGGAGGGTGAAAGAGGGAGAGAGAGAAACATCAATGTGCGGTTGCTGGGGGTTGTGGCATGTAATCCAGGCATGTGCCCTTACTGGGAATCGAACCTGCGATGCTTTGGTTTGCAGCCCACACTCAATCCACTGAGCCATGCCAGCCAGGGCTAAAGATGTCATTCTTAATGATGTACATAGAGATAGTAAATCCTGACAATGTAAAAAATTAGTTACCGTACCCATCATTTTCATTCTGCAGATGAAAAAATGAGTATGCTTAGTCTAGTTGCTTTTCTACCAAGGCCTCATGGACTGCTGGCAATTTACTTGGAATTCATACCCAGATCTCCTTATTTCACTGTTTGCCAAGGGTGCAAGTTCTTGGAATCCTCTTGCCTCATTCTCATAGTGACTGGCACATTAGCAGGGAAGAGCAAAGCAGATGGATGAAACCTCCAAGAGTATCAAAGGTGGAGCAATCACAAGCAATCAGCATACACTTCAGAAGCCATATGTTATAAAGTTTCTCCTACTCTGTTAAAGAAAATGTGATCAGTGAAAATGCATGGTTGTAAATGTAACTGTAACTATTGTGGTTATAAAAGCCTGAAGTTAAAATATTCTTTCTGGGAATCCAGTGTGAATTGACTAATGTTACCAGAACTTCAACTTCACATTCCAGTATCAAGGGCAATACAAAGAAGTCCACCTTATTCTATGAAATTCAACCCATTTCTGGTACTCAGGAAGCACTTAGGAACACAGAGGCAATAAAGGTGATTACCATGTTAAATGACTGAAAGATAGTTCAGTGGCTAAAGATATCTGGCCAGGCACAACCAAATTAATATTTAAGTACAACCACATTCAATTTATCACAATAAAGAAGATCATACTAATATCTTTTCCAGCCCAGCAAATAAAAATATTCAGTGTCTCTAAATTTTGAAATGATAGGGAATCCAATTCTCTATTTGGGTTGCTGTAGCTAAATAAAGCATGTTCTTATTGTTGTTGTTGTTCTGATTTTTGCTCTTTTTTAACCACTAAATTATAAAACTAGAAATATCACAACCTCAGCATTTTGAGATACCTTATATTTCTAAATGGATATATCACTGAACACTAAACAACAAAATTCAAATCCACAGACTAAAATAACCTCCAACAGCATTTTTCTTCTTCATGTACATCGAGACAAATAAAGCTGAGTAACATCTGAGATGGAATTTATTGGAGAGAAACAGAAGCAGGTGCTCTTGCCACAGCTGACCTTGGCTCCTCTGACTTTGGCTCCACCTTGAGCAAAGTGTCACCTCTAGATCCATCTACATACTTCTATAACTCAATATCTTTGTGATCAGTTTAATTGAAATATCTACAGAGAAATACCTGCCATGAAATACAGCTGCCTATTTTGTCCTGTTGACTTGCAGAAAATTATCACATATTCAGGACATATGATAATGCATTGCTATATGAAATTTTCATGAAAGTATCAAACATTATTCCATTTTTATACACAAATTTCAGCCTGAAATATTTGTGAACACTGAAGAGAAATTAAACTTTGGCATGAATATAATTTATAAAATTTCAAACTACTTGAATTTATTTCACAAAAAAATTTTGATGATTAACAAACTTCTTTAGAGAAATAAAGAGATATTTAAAGAGAATTAAAACATTGATATACATTTTTAAATTATTTTAATAATAAATCATATCACTTAAATAAGCTATTAAGTAAATGTCTTATAATCATAACATTGTTTTAATCACTTATATCATAGCTTCTGCTAGATATGAAAAACATGACAGATGAAGAAGGAATGATTCCTGTTGAGAAAAGAGAATATGACATATTCTCTTACTTTTCTTTTAGCTTACATGCTTTCAGTGACCACATTTTTCAGGGCTAAAAATTTTACAAACCCAAATATAAAAGAAGCAAGTAAAAACACCAGTTGATTGATGATGGAATGTTGTTACTTACAGGAAGGCTATGTAGTGTGAGAGTTGGTTAAATTTTTTAAAAAGAAGAAGAAAATTAAATCTGGGGAGATTGGCAACTTTTGGAACCCATATATATCATGTTTTAAGCATCTGAGCTTCAAATTTTATGTAAGAAAAGCTTCTTTGGTTTAATAATATTATAATATCCCTAACATTTATGGCTATTTTTGTACTTTAAAGCTTTACCTGCCCTGCTCAACATATTTATGAAAAATCCTTTCTAAATTACAGCTATAAGACTGATCTTTCTGACTTGGACTAGTGTAGCTAAATTCTCTCTCTCACACACACACACACACACAACTGTGAGCTCTTTGAAAGCAGTGTCACTGCACAATTTGTCTGTCAGTTTCCACCATTCAACAAGGAGTCTGATGTACATTATGTTCTCAGTGACTATGAAATGAATAAATGAATGACTCAGTGAATGATGTCTGAACTTTTCCAGTCCCCTATGATCAGCAGTGGTAGCCAGTTCAGATGAACAACTTGTCTAAAGCCTGACCTGAGTCTAATGGAGTTAATGAGCAGTAGAGAGTCATTTGCTTGGGGGTGAAGACTGCTTTATGTGCAGGTGTAAGGCAGCAACCCAAGTAATATGATTTTAGGGAGTATCAAAGAAGCTCCTAGTTTAAAAATCAATAGTTTCTTCCCTCATAATATTACTACATTTGATCCTAGCCAAAAGGGAGAGAAGTGATCATCATCATATTACTGATGACTAAAATCCATTTTAGATGGTACAGCATATTTCATTACACTGTTATGATAATTCCTAGGAGTTAAGTATCAGCCAAAAGGGGAAAATGTATCCCACTGACTTCTAGTTGGCACTGCTAGGGTGTAAATAGCTTATATATTATTTTTCTAAGAGTATTATGATTATAAAAATAAAAATAACAGAAATCCCTAGATATGTACAAGGATAAAAGATACAAAAAAGTCTGAGATCACCTCAGAATTTGCTACATAATCTTTTTCTGGCATAATCTTTTATTGCTGTGGCTAATGAAGCAAGCAAGAAAGAATTTGTAAAATAAAATTTACAATTATAAATGTTTTATATCATATTTTATTCATTTCTTTGGTTTAAAATAAAAGCAATTTCTCTTAGGCCTGGTCACAGGATGGTTTTGCAGGGATTTTACCATAAAGAATGCCTTAAGATTCCCCTGGCTGGCGTAGCTCAGCTCAGTGAATTGAGTGCGGGCTGTGAACCAAAGTGTCATAGGTTCGATTCCCAGCCAGGGTAAATGCCTGGGTTGCAGGCCATAACCCCCAGCAACCACACAATGATGTTTCTCTCTCTCTCTATCTCTCTTCCTTCCCTCTCTAAAAATAAATAAATAAAATCTAAAAAAAGAAAAGAACACCTTAAGATTCCCCCTACCTACAAACAGCTGGCTGTTCAGCTGAAGTCGGAAATGGCCCTCCTCCAAAGTCTCCCTGCTCATCCTGGGGAGGCTGTCCACTTGGAGTGAGGTCACCTTGAGGTTCCTCTCGGCCCGAACATAATGCCATTGGTTGTCATTCAGAAGAGAAGGAGACTGGACTACGAGCTCTATGGGACCATTCCCAACATCAATGGCAAAAGTGATCTCAGAAGGAGCTGAAACCAAAAAAGGAAATAGGTAGAAAGATGAAAGGAGTCATCAATGCATTTAGGGCACAAGCATATTGTGACTAAATAATATAAACAATCATAAGTCAATAGCTAGATAAAGAGGAGTTCAGTAGAAACCCCTGCAGTATTAAAATTAACATTGATAGTAATATATACCAAATACTATGCCTCAAGATTTTATTTTGGCTCAGTCAGTTCTGAGTCTGAGAATTCAGGTAATAGTGTAGGGACCCGCAATACCAATGTCAATCTGATACATATATATATATATGTGCCAAAGGTCTGGGTATTCTGTGTCCATTGTTGGCTTCCTGTCTTCCTTGATATATATAGATACTGGGTTAGCTAGGCAGCTCCACTCTTTTAAGGAAAAGACTCATGGCCTGGAATATCCAGTGCACTTCTCCATGTTATTTTATTGATACATGTGATATAAGCATTTGCACTAAGATTAAAAAAAGAGAGAGGCTCAGAAAGTTTAAGTGTCTGTGCAAGGAGACATAGCTGCAAGTGGTGGTGTTTGGTATGAAACACATGTACCTCCCTCCCCACTCTGGGCTCCTTCCCTGACTCTGCCCTTCTATATCAATCTACATATCATACAAGCCAGTTGCATCCAGTGAGGGTCAGTAATACATATAATGATATGACAATGATAATAGTGGTGGTGATAGTTGTGGCAGCAGAAGTCATAGAGCCATAGAGAGAGAGAAAAAGAGAGAGAAGTAGACACAGCACAGTAGGTACAGTGAAGTCTGTCAGGAACTGTACTAAGCACTGACCATAGATTCTATCATTTTCATCCTCAAAACAACCCTCTTAGAAATGCTTTATTTATATCTCCATTTTATAGGTAAAAAAATTCTTAGAATTGTGAGTAATTTTCTCTTTCTCAGATACTAAGCTTAATCTTACTTCAAACTTAGAATTATCTTTTCTCAATTGAGCATATCCTCTTATATATGCTAGTATTACACAATTTTTTTCTAAATCTAAAGGAAGTGGAGGTTAAATTATAAATTGCAGTTAAGGAGTAGACAGTCCAATTCAATAAACAGAACCTTCATACATCAGACCTTCCCTTTTTTTCTAGCACCTTGAAGTTGTCCCCTTTCCTTTACCCCTAAAACAGAACATGGGTATTTATTGCAGCTGCAAGATCTGATAAAGTCATCAGCTGCAAGATCTGAATTATCAGAGGTCAGACACCACCCTGGACCACTCCTTCTTTAGCTTAAACCCTAACTGAAAGCAAGTCTTGGTATAAAAAACCTCAATCTGCAGAATTTTAAGTAATTGAGAACTTGAATTATTTTGCATTCTGGCAAATGTGAGCCCTGGCTTAGAGGAAAAGCAATGAGATAGAGGCCTATAATGTAGGAGACCGAGACTGTTCTGTGTGGCGTGGGCCCAGCTCTCTTTCGAAGATGCACAGGACCCACGCCCAGGGATAGATTCTCCTGTGGGGAATCAGGCCTGCAATGTGCCTAGGCCACTTTGAGTCTTGCTCTTGCTAAAAAGCTCCCTCATCCTGAATTGAGGGCTTTTACTGCAAAGTAACTTCCTAAAATCCATGTGAAACCTTCCAAAGATGGGTTTAACCAGTTCAACCACTTTTGCCTTTTCGTTTGCAAATATCCCTCTTCTGTGATGTGATTAGTGGCATTGGCTCCTTTGTTTTCTGTAAAAGGTAACCACCTAAAGTGAACCTGGGCATAGTGAATGAGGACCATCATGTAATGTGCCCAGAGATAGAAATAAAGGCCTATCATGGTGTAGGCCAGGGCTTTTGCTCCCCTTCAGAGAAAAGCTACATTGTCCCTTTTCCTCCACTGGACTCAGTAGTCCATGTGAAGGTCTCATTTCATCCACAATGATGTAGACACTGCAGGCTGGTGCCTGCATCACTTTAAAATGGAATTTGAAAGTGTGGACTCTGGAGTCTTCATAACCTCAGGTAGGTGTTGCACCTTGTTCCGTCTCAGTTTTCTTATTTGTAAAATGAGAAATAAAAAACTGCACCTAAATGTCAGGTTGTTTATAAATTAATCCTGATAGATTTTAAATTTTTATTAAATGTAATATTACTTGCATTTAAGAAATTTTTGTACAATCCAAAATATAGTACCAAAAAGTACAAATTGGACATTGAAATGTAATAAACAATAAATCATTGCTTATTACCATGTGATAATAAGCCACAACATTAGCTGCTGCTTGGATGAATCAAATGGCCTTGAAGCCTAATTTTTATTAAATTTACATTGGGGTTATTATAGTTATATTATGAAATAGTTGGCACTCAACTCCACATCTTTTCCAGTACAATTTAGGTACAGGGGATCTTATTTCACACTAAAGTCACCAGTCTCCTCTCTTAATAGTCTTGATTGCTGGAGTAAAAGGAGGTCAAAATCACCAATTAACAATATTTAATTGCTTTACAAATTGTGTGTAATTGCAAAAGGAACACATAGTGATTGATAATTTGTGGGAGAAGTGTATATACACTGCAGCTATCTCCTCTGGTTAATGTTTTTTGCTCTTTTTCTGGAGCTCTTAAATATCTGATTTTCTGCTGGTGAGACATGAGTTATGCTTTCAAGGGTATAGGATGAGGTCACATTACTGTAATATGGTCAACTGCCTCAAGCAAACTATAGAAAATATCAATTTTTACACAGATGAATGAGACTCTTAATGACAAGCATGAGTCTTCATGGTTATGGGTATAACAAGGGCAAGATGATGGGAGCAATCTACCCTGTATATAAGAAATAAGAAGGTACCCCCAGTGTGGCAAGCAGAAACACTAGCATAAGCACCTGAAAGTATATCTGTTTCTTGTTATTACTGTGTACCACTATATCTACATATAAGTCATAACAGTCCTCTATAGATTTTTTTTTAGTCTAAGTATAACAAATGCTGATGTTAGTGTAATTTTAATAATATATACATGTAAGTCTCAAATAGTACTTTCTATTACTTCTCATTTAGAATGTATTCTACTCTAGAGGGAAATTAATAGAAAGAACTTCACATATGCTGCTGGGTCCTGAACATGCAAACTCAGACATACAGGGTAGGACAAAAGTAAGTTTACAGTTGTTCTTGTGGAAAATAATATAATAATTAATAAATAATTATAAAAGAATAAATTCTGAATTTCACCTACTCACAACTGTAAACCCACTTTTGCCCCATCCTGTATTCATTTATTTTTAAGAACAAGAATTGAAGTTCTGATTTTTCAACTTTATAATTACTGACCTGTCATTATTTAAATAAAATCTCTTGAAACACATGAATATATAGTACCATAGGGGTTGTGGACAAAATTGCTTGAAAAGAGAGCTCAAGCAAATTGAAATACTCAGAAATCCTTTAAGTTTTACCAAATAGAATAGCAATCTATGATGAATTTTCTGGGGAAAATATTTTAGTATGATTTTTTATTACAGAGATATCTGAAAGTTATTAGATGTGATTCTGAAAAATATACATAGAAAGAATTGAAATATTTTTAATTTATTGTAAAATAGGATTTGTATAAATCTGTACCAAATGTATTCTTATGGTGAAAACATTTCCTGCAATTTATACATCTATTTTTCAATGTAAAAATTAATTTTAAATTTATAAAAAATATCTGTTGATAAATATGAGAGAAAATAGGGGATAAATCTGATTATAGTATATTAAACATGAGCATGCAAAGATCAATTTTGATGAAGTCATTCACAGATTTGTAGAAGTAAAGCCTAAGAAGTAGAAATGTTATTGTTCTTATTGTTACTGGACAAAACAGTATGCAGGTACAATTTTCCCTTTTTATAAAAAGTAATTAATGCAATTGAAAAATATTCAACTATTATATTGTCTTCTTCTTGTATTGGAATATTTTTATTAACAGATTATGTATTAAAGTTTAATGATAGGGCATCTTACGATCTGCATTTTTTATTTTTAATTTAACTTATGTATCGAATATAGAATGTTAAAAGGTGATCCATTGTGGCATCAAATGCACTAAATACACCAAATTTCATGATGAAGTGGGAGAGAAACACTGGGGATTCTCATTAGGTAGAGACTCATTTCTAAAGGTAAGAAATAAGTGAGGATATTACTTTTAGAGCAAAAATACAACAAAAAAGTAGATGCCAAATATGGATAGAAAGCATAATAATAGACCTTCAGCTTTCCACAGAAATTGTCATGAACATATTCTGTGGTGTGGAAACTTGAAGTCATAGGTAAGAAACACCCACGGATCATCACATAAAGGTCACTGCCATAGTTATCCATGGAAATTTAGGGAATACACTTTTTTTGATGAGAGAATGACTAAATACTAATAGGTGATGATAATACAAAAACATTGGAAGGAACTAGAAATTGTCATTGCTAATTTTACAGATGTCCAGTGACATTAATTTTGCAGTATAAATTGGCACTCAGTGACAAAGTTAAGACTGGAGTTTCTTCTGTTGAGCAATTATATTAATTCATAAACGAGGGAACTTACAGCTTATTTCAAGTCGGATGAAGTCTGTAATGCCAAGATTTTCTAGAAAAACTCCAGATAAAGCCGTGGTTTTAAAAAAGAAGGAAATATCAGCACTGAATTCCGCATGGAAGGTAGGAAAGTGTAGGTAAGAGGCTTCTGTATAAAATGAGACTGCATTCCAGAAGTGCCCTGCAAATAAGAAAACCCTTAAGCATGGTTTACTGTTTGGCAATGGGGTATAGAAAGCTGCAAATGTAGGTGATAATTCTAAAGCTTGGGGGAAACTGCATGGAAAGGGGTAAGGGAATAAAAACATACTGTGCTTATGTAATGCAGAAAGAAAGGTGCTTTCCATTAGTACTCACGGTCACCGTAGCAACGCAGAGGACCAATTTTCCAAGCAGCTTCTGAGTTTGATCTGTTGGTATCAGTGATAACTATCTGAGTTACAGGCAAGTGGTCTTTGAAGGAAAGAAAGCCAGTATCATTTGTCCTGAAAAACATCAATTTAAGACAAAAGGAGAAAAGGTGGATAACACAGGGACCCTTTACCAAGACTCCTCTTTAGAGAATAATTTTGGTAGTTGCCACAGGGTGGAGCAGGATGGAGGGTAACAGTGAGCCTTTCATCTCCTAAAAGTGTGTGAAAAGCTGCAATGCCAATTACAAAACCCATGGCTAGCTTCCCAAAACAAGCTGACTTTGCATTTTTCCTAAGTCTTTCAAGAAACACAGGTAGTTTTCATATCTTCCTTTTGCTTGTTGTAGCTAAGACCACCCACTAGCCCCATGCAGTGCTGATATAAAGGAAATATTGCCTCTCTCTTCATAGCTCTTCATACAGTGACAGGCTATCTCAGGAACTTGTTTGAAATAGGCATCACAAATCCCTATTACAGCTTATTTGTAAAATCACTCCAAGCACTTGTTTTAGCCACCTGCCAACCATTTTAATGAGCGTAGGTGTTGGGAACCATCCTGCCTGGTATCAGAAGCTGTAACCCCCACCAAGGCTAAGGCTGAGGTAACAACCTTGGACCGTAAGCCACCAAGTAGACAAAAGCTTATCTCCCTGGCAGGAGCACTGCTTCTGCTCCTTTTACTTCACCTTGCCTGGCCCCCAGTGCTTGGTCGGTTAGCCAATGACAGGTAAGATTCCCCAAGGGGGGAACAACCGAAGACAGGCACGATCACGTGGGAGGCCCTCAAGGAAGGACTTTGGGGACTACAGCAAAAGGGGGTGATGGACCCCCGCCCCTTGGCTTTGACAAACCTGAGTCCTCATGGTCTGAGAGAAAATCTCCTAATCTCTTGGCTGCCTTACTTCCCTTGCTCCACCTAAGCCTGAAACAATGACAGAGGGTGGTACAGACCGGTGCTGCAAAGGGTGGGTTCCTCGGGCAATCAGGCCTAAGAAAGAATATGTAAAATCCTGTGAAATCCACTTTGTTTAGAATGCTCTCAATTAAATTATAAGGGTCCAAGCAGGAAGTAAGTTTGTTCCTCAAAGTTTTACAGCTCTTTAGCTATCTGACCCTGACTCAAAATAGGCCCTCAGAGTTCTTTGTTATCTATTATTTGATCCTTACTTCCTGGCAATGATTAATGAGCTTTACCTGAATTCCTGTGTAAACGAACCCAATAAAACCCAGCTCAGGGAGAGAACGAGGCACTTTCCCTTAGGAAGGGTGGCCAAGGCACTCTCCCCTAGGGAGTTGGCCGTTTTGTCCCTACTTCCCCACAGGACTCAGTTTTCCCTGTGTTTGTTTTTCTTGTGTTTCGGTGAGCATCTGCAGCCTCGATGGATACCGCTGGCCCGGTATCCTCCACATGTAGGATGCTTCTTATCACATTTTATCTCTAGGTTAAAAAAAAAGTCTTTGCAGTTACTGCTTTGTTGCTCCTCATTTTGTTCTGTGTTTTAAAGATCTTGGTAGTCAAGGACTTTGGCCTTGCCTTTGTTGATTGTGCAAGCAGGAAACAACTAGTCAACTGACTAGTTGACAATTATTTTTTAATAATAGGTTTAAGCTATTGATTTTTTTTTCTCTTTGTACATTGTGTTTTTGGAGTACTGATGAGAACATACTATTTAACTGAGAGTATAAAATAAATGTAGGTATTGAATTAATAAATATTTTAAACCAGAAATATACTAAGAGGTATGTTTATTTTTCCTATATAACACCTCTATACAGTGGGTGCCATTATTCCCGTTTAACAATTAGAAACTATGCCTCAGAGATATTAGGAAACTTGCCTAAGGTGACATGACAGAGGGGCAGGAGTGTGGTCACATACTTGGCATCTATCCCATATCTAAGTTTGACAAGTATGTCATACATGTATGTTAATCTGAGTGGAACTGAATCATATGAGTCAATGAGTTGGTCTGAGAACTCACAGACAAGTGGGCTGGGCTTCCCACTAACACAGCCTCAGTTAAATGAAAGATGGATCATCTTGCTGGTACATGGGAATTGAAAGACAGAGCAACATTATCAAATACTCAGGGCAAAGTATATGATGCAGCAAGTTGATAACAAGAACATAAAGAAGAAGATTCATATTAGTGATCTTGCTGTATTCATAAAGTCAACAAAACACTCACAATCAATATTAAATTTCACTATCATTAACCCTCTGAGTTTAGAGACAACAAAAGATAATATCCAGATTATCAATTGGGGAAACACAGCAAGGACCAAATAGTGCAATAAAGTGTTTTAAGGGTATAGCTTTGGAAACAGACAGATTTGTTCTAGAAAATCAGGTCCCCAGTTTCTATCTGTGTTAGCTTGGGCAAACCACTTTATTTCTGAGACTCACCAGTATCCTCATTTTTTAAATGGAGATAAATTTTATATCATAGAGTTACAGAGAGGATTAAATGAGATTGTATAGTCACTTAGCATAGTGTCTGATATATGGGAAATGCTGAAAAATGGAGTAGTAACAATCAACTTTAAATCTTATCTGACCTAAGACTTTTGTTTGCATTTGAAAGTACAGATCTAAATGTTACTTAGAATAAATTATGAGTCTTCACATTCCAATATCTTTTCAGGAAGAGATTACAAAGCAAATTCCAAGTAATCAAAGTGGTGTAAACCAAAACCACATCCTCTCTCAATGTAGCTCTGTATCTCCATAGGATTCTTTTCTCTCCATTTTTATTTTCAAGGTGAAATGGTATATTGCTTCCCTTACACACTGTCATTTTGTCAACATCAATTTGATGTCCTTGTGTCAAAGTATTAGGATATCCAGATAGCACTCTAAGGATAAAAATATTTTCCAAATAAAAGAGAAAAAGAATTCATATTAAATTTGATGATGCAATAAATATTACCAAAATTATTTTTCACCTGAAAACTTAAATAAATAAATAAATAAATAAATAAATAAATAATAACTTCTCTCCAAATTATTTAATGGAATAGAAACAGAGTCAAATGACAACGGAGACCAGGAAAGGAGTAAACAGAGTCAAATGACAAAGTCAAATGACAACAGAGACCAGGAAAGGAGTAAAAATGAGTGAGGCTGGCTTTATGTTAGATGATAAATGGAACATGACACACAGGTTCACTGTCAGGAGTAAAAACAAAGAGAAAGAAAGAAGATAGGAAGACTGCAAGAAAGAAACTGGGCTGTCCATCTGAAGAAGGCGGTGATACCCATTAGTAAAGTGGTAATTATGTTATTCATATGTAATAAGGCCAATGGGCTCACCTAAATATTAATGTAAAAATTCTCAATTTTTAAATCTTGGCAATGAATTTAAAATTCTTTAAAAAAAAGAAAAAAACAAACAAACACAAAACAGTGGTGAGATCCAACACTGCACTGGTCAATGAAATGCAGCTGAGAAATATGTTCAGTTGACAGGCAACTTAGGCATCAAGGAAACTTTGAATATTTATTCATGCTTTTAGGGTCACATTGAGAATTGGACTAAATTAAGTTTGTGAATGACAGGTACGATTCAAACCTTTCAAAGCATTAATGGGTAGAATATCTGGAGGGTGGGTGGTGGTAGTGGATTTTAACCTTAAGAAAATGATACAAATTATATCATTTGGTATAATTTGGTACCTATTGATAGCAGAGAGTCCACAGTTCCACATCTGACTTTCTACACTTTATCTTGCTTTTCTTATTTGTTTGAACTTACTTTCTCAAGAGCCAACACTTTACAGACTTTGTCTCCCTTTAGAATATATGGGACTCTACCTCAGAGTAAAGGGTACTGACATACTTGATAAGTACAGAAATGATTGTGCTACAGTGGGAACGCATTGCCATTTGAATCAGATGGCATGGGCTGAATTCATGTACCTCAACACACTCATGTGATCACAGGGAGGTCATTCTGGGCCTTGGTTTTTGTATCTCTTAAATGGTGGTAATAATACTAATTTGATATTGTGTGAATCAAATGTATATAAAACAGTTCACACACTGACTATTACATAGTAGGGACTCAAATAGCTATTGAAATTCCCATTAAAGTTTGAAATTAAAATATGGAATGCAAAGAATTTTTATAAGGAAAATAAGACAGGGAGTCCCCCAGTTGATGAACAAGAAATGGGGAGGCCAGCCACAGACTCTAGCTTATGGAAACTCTTCAGGCACAAAAATTTGGGTATCAAGAAACACACATGACTTAATAAAAATGTGAATTAAGGAAAATAATTGAGAAAAACATTTTCAGGAGAAAAGGCATGACTCAGAATTGTCAATGTGGTCTCTTCTCAGTTTAGTATTTGAATCTTGAGATTTTATCAAACTCAGAATTGCAGAGTACAGCAGGACCCTCTGATTTCCAGCAGAGGTGTCCAACCCCCAGCCCACAGGCTGCATGCGGAACAGGATGGCTTTGAATGAGGACCAACAGAAAATCATAAATTTACTTAAAACATTATGAGATTTTTTTGTGATTACATGAGACAATGTATTTAATATGTGTCCCAAGACAACTGTTCTTCCAGTGTGGCCCAGAGACGCCAAAAGGTTGGACACCCCTGATAGTGTATCAGAAAAGCCTGGCGATAGGTGACATGCTCCCATTTGCTTTCACCAACCAATTTTAGTTAACTACTGCTTTGTAAGCTTTGTTTTTAATGGAGTCACTTGGTGACTGAGTCTAACAAAGAATTTTTTTCTTTCTTTTTTACATCCTCTTTCTTTCACTCAGAATTAAAAAATAAAACCTTTAAGTAAGATAGAAAAACATAGAACATTATGCAATGAGCTCCAGACTTCAGCTTCCTTTGAAGCCCTTCGGTGAATCTGAGATTAGTTTTAAGACACTCTGCACACCCTTCCCTTGAGCTTGTGAAACAATGCATTCCATGGCCTGTGGCTTCAAGGAATGGCTGGTAAGATGCCCAAAGGCAACTCTGCAAGTCTAAAGCACCATGTTGATGCTTGCCAATAATTCTATCCTAACTCTGGTATATGCAATTGTTTCCCTTTTCTCTTCCT